TTTAAACAAAAGCTTAAAGAACTCATTTTTACAATCGATGATTTAACAATATACTTCTTATATTTTTTGTGATCTTTATTTTTACCATTTAATTAAACATGAACTTATGAAAAGTATATGTGAATCCTTAACAACTATAATTTACATATATAATAGATATAACGCATCTTGTATTTATTATGTAGTGATGAGTTATTTTAAGTTTCTTACTTTTGTCAACTATTTTTATTTTTTAATCTTGTAATTATCTTTTAAATTTTAACACGAACATTTCTTAACGGTACTCGACGACAAGACCGTATGGTCTTCTACGAGTCCCCGCGTTCTTTTATTTTTTAATAACGACCATTATATTTATATATAAATTTATTATTATATATTTGTATTTGAAATATTGTAAAGAAATGCTTATTTTACATGTAATAAAAGAACGAAAAAAAAAAAAAAAAAATCTATTTGGTTAGAATATTCGATTCCCGTGTGATAAAATTACTTTTTGTACATAAAAATACTTTTTATAATGTTGATGTTGAATATCCTTATAGCCTACACATTTATCCAGTCGGGATCACGTGACTTTATTGCGAAATCAAAAGTAACCATATTGAATAGGGTAAAAACAAACTATTTTTTCTTATACGCGACGTCAAAAATACGTTATTTAACAAGAACTTTATGTTCTACAATCACTTTGAAAGCTAATCAAAAGCAGAAAGTCTGCAAAACTCTTTTAGTTGGTTTTACTTTATTTAAACATACTTTTAAAGTTTAAATAAAATTTCATTGCTGTCTACAAATTACTTTGATTATTTTTGGATATGGAAAGGATTGATATTTCATATTTATTTAAAAATACTAAATTAAAATGTAAATTAAAAGAAACCCATCAGTAATAAAGTGTGCTGAACAAACATAAACATTAAAGATTTAGGAGACCATTGGTTGCTAAACGCACTACTATCTACAGCTCGATTTATCGTATTCAACCACTTTCTTTGAGTTACTTTATCTTTAGGAAGACTTAAATTCTAGATTTTTTAAAATGTTGTTAGTGAAACCAGCTGCAAAATAATCTTTTAGTTTTTTTTGAAAATTAAGTCAACAAACCGCTACTGATCTTTTAGTTTGTTTTCATTCAATTCAAGATAGTAATATGGGGTGACGTCATGCTGACTTGATATATAGTTTAAAACTGTTGCTTTTTAAAAAAACAATTTAAAAATGACTTTCCAAGAATTTAGAAGCAATGCCCCTGTTTGGGAGCATTTCTTAAAGTGAAAAGTAAATGAAATTGCTTAATGCAAAACCTGTAACGTCATTGTAACAATTAAAGGAAGCTGCACAAGTGTTATCCGAAAGCATTTTAAGAAAAAGCATAAAATTGCCATTATTACTTCCAGTTCAATTTCCATTAAAACTATTTTACTGGATCATCCTAAAGATTCAATTAACAGAAAATTGAAACAGAGTATTGAAAGACTTAAAAACTATTTCAGATTAAGTTTAACTGTTTATGAATATACATCAATAAAAACGCGTCGTTATATGAATAATTATGTGTACACAAACGAAAGCTTTTATAATCTTGGACTTGCACGCATTTTTATGATATATCATCTGTAAAAGCTGTTGAGACAGTAAAGTGAAAATTTGAGTGAATTCAAACTTGAATTTAATAAAGATATTGCTAGTACAACTACAGATGCCTCAAATTTGACCGTTTAATTAATCCACTACCTCACATTTGCTATGCCCATGCAATCTGTTTAATAGTGGGTGATGTACTCTATGTGAAATCAACTAAATTTTTAGACGAAAACGATAATATTGAATATTGACCTAATCTTATTTTAGGCTGCAAGACATGTTGGAACTCATTATTTGATATGGTTAAACGCTTTGTCAAGTTAAGCAAATGTATTAAAACGACACTTATCCAAGTGCAGTCTCCAATAGCAATATCAGATTCAGAGCTGCTAATTCTTAAATATTTAGTTGAGGCTTTAAAATCTGTAAAAATAGGAGCCGAAGCACTTTGCCGTCGAGACTCAAATTTAGTTAAAGCAGAAAAGGTTTTTTGTTTTGTTTCAAGTCAACTACAATTATATGAATCTGACATAAGCAAAAACTTATATGGCGTTAAAAGATATTTTAGCATTAGAAATCCTATTTTGATTCAACTCATGGAATATTTAAACAATCCTATTTTTCTATTATCTGGTACTTATTATCGTACTATTTGCAAATCTTTTATCCCCAAGATTTAAAAAAAAAAAAAAAAAAAGTATGAAAAAGTAGAGGGTTACTCTAAATATTAAAAGCTTAATCCGAGCAAAAAAATTGGCTTGGCACATCAACTGCTCAACTAAATGGAAGAATAAAGATCTCAAAACAAATTACAATCGTCTTAATCGCTCCGTTAAAGCGGAAATATTTAAAGCAAAAATATTACAAAAGAAGTTATATCAAAATTTCAGAACAACCCAAAACTCGTCTACAAATACATTAACAGCCAACTAAAAATTAAAGATAAAATTCGTTCTCTCAAAAATGCTTTAGGTGAAATTACTGAAACTCTTCTCGGTATACTTGAACTTTTGAACTCTCAGTTCAAATCTTTACTCTTGAAAGCCCCGAAAATGTTTACTTTTGAAAGCCCCGAAAATTTTCCATTGTTAAATAAAAGTGAAGTTAAACCTGAATGCAATTACAATAATAACTTGGATTTTTCCATTGCAGGCATTATTAATAAACTTACCAATCTAAACCCCTACAAATCTTTTAGACCTGACGGGTTGCACCCTTTAATGCTTAAGATATGTGCGAAAAGCTTCGCAATTCCGCTTACATTTGCTAATTTCCAGAGAGTATTATTCCATACAGGTACTATTCCAGAATTAAAATCTTCTATGAATCTTTTAATTCTGGAATAGTACCAACTCTCTGGAAATTAGCAAATATTAGTCCGATCTATAAAAAAAAGGGAGACAAACTACTTTCTGAAAACTATCGCCCTATTTCACTTACCTCTGTTGTGTACAAAATATTTGAAAAAGTTTTACAGAATAAAATCTTGAAGCACATTAATGATAACAATCTGCTCTCTACAAATCAACATGGCTTCCTTCATCATAAGTCTTGTGTAACCAATCTAATAGAGACTTTTGATATTATTTCGTCTTCCCTAGCAAAGCACCAGTTTATAGATGTAATCTACCTCGGCTTTGCTAAAGCTTTGATTCCGTACCTCACACCAAACTCATGTTAAAGTTAAAATCATTCGGAATAAACGGAAAATACTACAATGAATAAATTCCTTCTTAGTAGGCAGAGAGCAATGCGTTACAATTAACAATACTAGCTCTGACTGGGTTGATGTTCTTAGTGGTGTTCCTTAAGGTTCTGTTCTCGGCCCGCTCCTCTTTATTCCTTTTACAAATGATCTTACCCAACTTACAGAAACTTCTGAAGTATTTGCAGACTATACTAAACTTTTTTCTAAAACTTTATCGCAGACTAATTTCGTTGATCTGCAGGACCGTCTACGCTTAGTATACGAGTGGTCAAACACTTGGTTACTTAAATTAAACATTTCAAAATGCTGTGTTATCCATTATGGTAAAACCAATCCTATGTATAGCTACTTTTTGCAAAATAACCAAGGTTTAAATGAAAGCCTAAGAAGCTCTATTAAAGAGCGCAATTTAGGAGTCCTTTTTCCTTTTTACATCTAACCTCAAGTGGAGTACACATATTCAATCAGTTGTCTCCGAATCTTTACAAATTCTTGGTATGCTAAAAAGGACATTCGCCATCGTTGATGGAAAAATGGCTCTCAAATCATATAAAGTGTTTATAAGACCACACCTTGAATGTGCAGTGTCTGTTTGGACCAGTATTTAAAAACTGAATCAGTATTTAAAAACTGACGTAGTTTTGGTTGGATCTGTTCAACGTAAAGCAACAAAACGGGCTTTAAGCTTGAGAAATCTTCGATACTATGAAAGACTTAAAAGACTAAATCTACCATCACTCGAGTTTCGGCGCCTACGATGCGATCTAATACAAAAATTATAAACTAATACATCAATTTGATATAATTAATAATATATATCAACCAAAATTTATTAAGTCATTGTCACGTGATCACCATCTTAAAATAAGACGTAAATACAACTTTTTGGTGATCATAGTTTCATGTCATTTCTAAAAATACTTTTGCATTTTGATATCTCGATTTCAAAAATTATTTTAATTCATAATAGTTAATATATTTTTTCAGACTTGGATTTTATTTATACGACATTTCAAGATATTTTCATGTAACCTTCATAAAAAAGATATTCAAAATATAAAAATAATTCATTTCTATAAGTTATGATAAATATTAACTGTTATAAAAATAACAACGACACTTTTCTTAATATACTTTTTATTTATTTTGAATAAATTAAAGTGTAGATGTATATAGTAGTTCTAATGGTTCAAAGTTAATCTATTCCATTGGTTTAAGATTAAGTTTAGCCTAAGGTTAGCTATTTAATCTACATCATATCCAAAGCTAGGTTGTTCAACAAGCTATGCTGAACAGCCTAGTTATCACAGTTGTGTAGATTTATGAATTAGAATTTACATATTGAATAAAATAGAACATGTATAATAAATTGACATGACAGTAATTTTTTTGATTTTGTTTTTTAGGTATTGGCAGGCTGTACTTGACGACTTACCTTCCTGCAATGAGGTTAAAACAACATCCAACTACAAGCCAATTGAAAATATTTTTCATAGCAGAATGTTTCTAAGAAGAATTTCCTTAAACTATTTTTGGATATTTTTTAATGCTGTTTCTTTTACCAAATTTTAAATTTAAAAAATCATCTCGCATAGATTTTTAGATTTTTAATAATTAATTTTATTCAGGAGTATAATTACAATAATAATAACAGAAAAGCACATAAAAAAAGCACATAAAAATCAATTTAAAAACTTAAGAAAAATGAAGACATTTTGGTATGATATATTTGATGCACAAACACAAAAATACTGTCTTTATTTTCTACATACATTATTGTATCTACTATCTATTCTTTTCATTTCCTATAAAGTTTTCATTGATATCATCCTTTAAATCTTTAGTTTAGACAAAACAGAAACTTTGTTTTTTTGAAATTTGTTTAATTTATCTTGTCAACTGGTCTGCAATTGCTGATAGAAAGCAAAACACAAAAATCTTGGCGATACCCAGCTACACGATAATTTTAAGTTTAAGCTAATTTCAAACACATAATATTCTTAAGATTACGCAAACCTGGCAAATCATTATTTTCATAAACTTTCATAAACAGCGCGAAGTCATCTGATAATGAACTTTAAAATATATTCTCATTTGCATAATTATTCCAACTCGGAGGTTTCGATTCTAAAAACATTTTTTTAGAAATGAAATTTCGTAAAATACAAAATAGATAGGAATTAAAATAAAACACTTACTAATAGCAAACTTCATGTCGAGTAATATTTGCAAACGACTCAAAAGCAAGATAACATCATCAAACTCATAACCAGGTATGCAATAGACTAACAGTGCAGTAAATTGCAACAACCTTTTATTGCTAAAAAATAATTATACCTTACTAGGGGTGTTCGATATCGCTTTCTAACGTTTCAGAAAGTAGTTTCCTCTGAATTGGAAAGCGTTTGCAAAATAAAATTTCGGATTTCAACCCCATTAAATTAAAACTTACAAGTTAGAAAGTGTTTATAGTTTTTTTCTTTTTTTTGTTTTAAAATCAAAAAATTTTGATCCAAATTAACTGTACAAATGAAAATTTATTTTTCATCATAAAAAAATGGATTATTTAAAAAACTTCCACTTTCTCGGAAGGAAAGCGAAATCGAACACTCCTATACTTTACCACTAAACTTTTTTTTTTTTTTTTAATGTACAAAAAGACTTAAATTTTCACGTAAATTTGAACTACTAAAAACTGGAAAATTAAAAAAAAAGATTACACCATTTAACAGACGTTTAGAACAAATGAACGTCAGAAAATATAATAACAGTAATAAAAGAAACAATCGAGTAAGAGTGATACACTGACAGTAAGGAAATTGGTTAATTTTTGAAAAAATTTTCTTTTGTAGACGAAAACGCTTACCATTCCTCGTATACTAGTTTTATAATCCCAGAGCCAGGTAAAGTAATTGAACCTAAAAAATAAAAAAAGCACATATATATGTATATATATATATATATATATATATATATATATATATATATATATATATATATATATATATATATATATATATATATATATATATATATATATATTAGTCTTCTCTGTTTGAAATTTAATGCCAGTGTAAAATGCACTGGCAGGATGGTCATTTTTAAGTTAGCCTGCGTGATTTAAAAAATTCTTTTTTTTCCTGCTATTTAAATTAAAACGAAAGTGGCGAAAGTAATGCTTTGAATAAATACTATATAAAATAATTAAAAAGAACTGGTAAAAAAAACAACCCTTTTTTCATAAAAGTTGAATAAATGAACAAAAAAGTTTAGTTGCAGTTTAAAATAAAACGCAACTAAACTTTTTTTTAAAATATATATATATATAAATATATAAATATATATATAAATATATATATGTATATATATATATGTATATATAAATATATATATAAATATATATATATATATATATGTATATATATATGTATATATATATGTATATATATATGTATATATATATATATATATATATATATATATATATATATATATATATATATATATATATATATATATATATATATATATATATATATATATATATATATATATAAGCACACACACACACATTAGGGTGGTGCTCAATACAGTATTTTAAAAAAATATTTTCTTGCACTTTTTGTATTTGACCTATATAGCACAATAAAACCGAAACAAAGAAACTAACTTTAAAATCAGTTTTAAGTGGGTGCACATGGCCTCAAAAGATTGGTCTTTAAAAAAAAAAAGGTTTTGAAAAGTCAAGTTTCAAAAATAGTAATCACATTTCATAAAAACATGGTTAAAAAAAAATTAATTAAAAAACCATAAAAAAAAACTTTCTTTAAAATGTTAAAAAACAATGGTTTTTATGCAACAAAACGAAAAACAATAATTTTTTTTTTTATTAAAAATATGTAAAAAAATAGCAAAAATTATTTTTACATGATTTTGTTTTATTTAAGACCTGACATGAAAAACTTAAATTTAAACTTAAAATTAAAATTTTGTTTTTTGTTTGATTAGGGATCAATTGAAACTTTTAAGGTCATGTGACATTCCTGAATATATTCAAAAGTTAACTTTTTTTAGTTTAGTTTTATATATTACTATACAGAGCACAAAGAATGTAAGACACCTTTTAAAAATATTGTTATAAGCACCACCCTAATACAAATAAATATATATACATATTCAGTGTTTTCCAATATCTCCCTGGATCTCCCTAACTTTACTTTGATGATTGACATTGATAAAAACATTATTCAGTGGTGATGTTCTAACGTTGGTTATGTGAAGTTTGCCGGCAGTTACATGTTGAAACGCTTATATTGGAAACATTAGATAATATTTTGTCATTGTGCGAGTTAAGGTTAGGAACGGACTTTTAAGTTATTAAAAATTTTGTGAACCTTGTATTTATGGAAAATTATTTTTAATTAAATTTGGAAAATTTTGAGGTGTTTTGAGATTAGATTTTTTTTCACAAATTAGAGTTTTCCATCTCTTTCATTAAATCACTAATTCGACTTTTTCAATTAATTATTTATGATATAATTTTTTTTACTCACTAAAGAACATACAAAGAAAAGATGAAGATTGTAGAGCAAGATAACGATTGACAGGTGACTTAAAAGATTGCAAATTATATAAATCAGGAAAGTAAGATGAAGGAAGCGAATTCCAAAGAACTGATATTCGAGGAAAAAAAAAGACAAATAAGAGTTGTTGGAGCACTTACTTAGCACTTAGGAACAGTAACAGAAAAAGGATGAAACATCTGACGATCGCATAAAATGTGAAACTGCAATTCATATTTCAAACTATTTAATTATTCTTCTGATATATATATATATATATATATATATATATATATATATATATATATATATATATATATATATATATATATATATATATATATATATATATATATATGGGCAATTCCATTTTTTTATTTATATGAAAAACAAGGTAAAAAAATTGCTTCAACTTTTAGGCCAGATTTCTGCGAATCAGTAAAACGGTTTGTATTAGAAACTTTTACAAGATGTTAAGAACTCTATACTAATTTAAAAAATATATAAAAATTGATCAGAGGTGACTGGCTAAGAAAAATAAACTTGTTTTTTTGATACTATGTATTTAACTTACGCTACCAAGCGATTGTTTTTGTGGATTGTATATATCTATTATCAAGAGCTAGAGTCATGTTACAAAAAAGTTGTGAAATTGTTTAGCTCATTTACTAAAAATAATTAACAAAGGACATTTTAAAAACTGGTGGCACTCTTCCTGAGTGATTTAATATACCATTTAAATTTTCAAATCCAAATCAGTTCTTCCGCAAGACCACAAACAACTTTAAAAAATTACTTTAGTATTACCTTTACTCGTACCATGTCATTTAAATAAGAAAATCTTTGGCTTGTCGAAGTTTTTACTAGCACTTCAAATTATCGGACTCTACCATTTCCTTGGACCAAAAATCAAAGGAAGAAAGGAGCGAATAGCGCAAATTTCCAAAGAAGTCAATAAATTGTGGAAAAAGAAACTGAACTTTACTCATGTATCGGATCAAGTTATACAAGCAAAGCTTGTTAAAATACTGAAATGTAATGATGTGTGTCAAGCGTGGAAGCTTCAAACCCCTTGATAAAATTTTTGATTACTAAAGTGAATGGAACATGGTTATCTTCTGAGGACAAGCGAGATATATATATATATATATATATATATATATATATATATAATATATATATATATATATATATTTTGAAAAGATTTGCAAATAATAGTTCATTTTGTGCTTTTAAGGTAAAAGCACATCAAACTGCAGTACTGAAGCATGGGGTTGATATATATATATATATATATATATATATATATATATATATATATATATATATATATATATATATATATATATATATATATATATATATATATATATACACACACACATATATATATATATAAGAAGAAAAGTGTTAAAAGTAATATAAAAAATAACAGAAATTAAAGTTTTTTAACCATCTGTTTTTTTATGACTGTATTCCTCCCAGCACAAGCCATCCACCATTTTTTTCTTTAACTCTAAATCAGTAGTAAGGAAACGAAAAGAGTCTCTGCATAAAAAAAGTAAACTTAAAAATTAAATTTAAAAATTTATAGAAAATTTAAAAAAAAAAACTTTTAGTTTACGTGAGAAAAAAAAAGAAGAGAAAAACTTGAACATCATTAGACCTCTGCAAATCACAATCATTTCTAATATGGGAGCTAAGACCAGCATACATCACAACTTTGCTAAAACAACTTTTGTCTATCCATGAAAATAGTTTTTTACAGAACGCTGTAATACGACCCTTTAAACAGCCAAATGAATTAAAAAGAAAAGTATAGAAAAAAGAAAACAATATAAAAATCAAAAACAACAATTGAAAAAAATGAAAAACCTTTATAAAAGGAGCTCGTTGTTGAACAATGATTAAACTGTGTTCTCTGCATTCAAACACTAAAATATTTTAAAAACTTTAAATTAAAATTATATCCATGTGAAATATTACTAATCACATTACACACACACACACACACACACACACACACACACACACACACACACACACACACACACACACACACACACACACACACACAATTTATGTTAATTCTTTATATAGTTGTTTTTGTTGGCAAAATACTAGAACAATGAATGGGGGAATCTGCAAATAAACCATCACTAAAAATGTTAGTCAAAAAATTCTTGTAACAATTAAAATAAATCAAAATTTTCTTGAGTGGTTAATAAAATTATAAAAATTACAATTAGTGATAATTTATCATTTAAGTTTTTGTTTTTTAAATGTTGAAACATAAAAATTACATTCTGCCTCTCAAAAATGGGTCTGATCTTAATTACAAAAAAATATCTTCTGCTAAATTCATATCATAAAATTAATAACAACACTCTTTGTGACATCCAAAAGAAACGCATTGTTTAACATCCCAAAGAAAAAAGTTAACACATTGTTTAACATCCCAAAAAAAAAAACTAACACATTGTTTAACATCCCAAAGAAAAAAGTTAACACATTGTTTAACATCCTAAATAAAAAATTAACAAATTGTTTAACATCCCAAAGAAAAAAGTTAACATTGTTTAACACCTAAATCACTCTGTCGTTAAAGTTATTTCTCTCTTAAACTTTTCTTGTGTTTCAGAAAACATTTCTTATAATAGTATTCTTAATTACTTATACTTTTTCAGAACTTTATTACTCCATTAACTATTTAACAAGTGTTTTACTGAACTTTATTTTCCTATCACCTGAAAATTGGCTAAAAATTGTTTTAAAACCACTTTTAAAAAATCTCTGAGCTTCCTAATCAACTTTCTTAATCTCTGAGCTTTCTTCCTAATCAACTTTTTTAATCTCTGAGCTTTCTTCCTAATCAACTTTTTTAATCTCTGAGCTTTCTTCCTAATCAACTTTTTTAATCTCTGAGCTTTCTTCCTAATCAACTTTTTTAATCTCTGAGCTTTCTTCCTAATCAACTTTTTTAATCTCTGAGCTTCCTAATCAACTTTTTTAATCTCTGAGCTTTCTTCCTAATCAACTTTCTTAATCTCTGAGCTTCCTAATCAACTTTCTTAATCTCTGAGCTTTCTTCCTAATCAATTTTCTTAATCTCTGAGCTTTCTTCCTAATCAACTTTCTTAATCTCTGAGCTTTCTTCCTAATCAACTTTCTTAATCTCTGAGCTTTCTTCCTAATCAACTTTCTTAATCTATGAGTATTGTAATCTGTAACAGAGAGTTGCTAGTAACAGTTTAAGGGTTGCTAATAACAGTTTGAGGGTTACTAGTAACAGTTTTAGGGTTGCTAGGAAACTTTAACAAAATTCTTTACTTCTAATAATTATCACAATAATACTGATATTACAATATTGATAGAATAACAACAGTTTGACTAAGAATAACAACACTCATACTAAGAATAATGTTAATACAGAAAAAATTATTACAATTTTGGAATTAAGAGTGAAAACTAATAAAAAAAAATTTTTACAGCAACCAAACATTTTTAAACAACTTATCTATAGGAATTTTAAGTTGTTTGCCAACCGCACTTGCTCTTAAACTATGTTCTTTGTTTTCTGTTGACTCCAACTTAAAGAGCATTTTCTTGTAACGTTGTTGGGAATGTGTTTATTAAAAATAATTTTTTGTTAAGTAACACTTATTAAAAATTTGTTATAACATTTATTTAACATGAAAATGAGCTATATGAATCATAATAAAATCTTGTTTTTCATGAACATCAATCATCAATCATTTATTTTTCTGAATTTTACATTCAAGGATGTTTACAAATGGTAAATTTACTAATATAAAGTAAACACCTACTAATGCTAATAATATCTAGTTAAAATATAATCCTTATTTTCACAAATTATAATAACAATAATAAACTTTATAACATAAAGATAACATTGTTAATAATAATAATAATAATAATAATAATAATAATAACAATAATAATAATAATAATAATAATAATAACAATAATAATAATAATAATAACAATAATAATAATAATAATAATAATAATAATAATAACAATAATAATAATAACAATAGCAATAAAAAGAATAACAATAATAGTAATAACAATAATAACAACAATATTAATATTATTAATAATAATTAAAAGTAGTTATTAATAGTAAATATTAATAAAAATAACAATAAAAAATATCAATTAGAAAAGAATAAAAAAAAAAAAAAAAACTATACTTAAGACAACAAAAATTGCTTATAGAAATTATAAACATTAACTATATTTTTTTTAATAAAAAGTTGAATAAACTGGTTTTAAAGGTTGAGAATGATTTGAGAGCTTTTAGTTCATAAGGAAGGTTGTTCCAAGTTTTTATGCTTTGATATTTTATAGATTTATGCCCCTAAATATGACAGCGGTGTTTAGAGACAGACAGGTTTAAATTACTATTGGAACGAAGGTGATAACGAACGTTGGCACTTTTGGAAAAGAAATTGATGAAAGTTATAGTTAGGTTATTGTTTTGGTGGTTCCAGACAAATTGGCAGTTTAAAAGTTGAATATAGACATATAGTTTTAATACTTTAGAAATTAGGTAGAGCACATTAGAATTAAATTTAATATTCTGGAAATAAATAATTTTTAAAGCCTTGTTTTAGAGGTATGTATAACCTGATGAGAACTTGTTGGCGGGACTGCCCCCATACTTTGCATGGATATCTAAGATGTGAGCCAAAAATAGCATGGTATATGTTCAAGAGTGTCTGAAGATTAACATAATGGTGAGTTTTGGTCAACATACCATGAGATCTATTTAGTTTCATTGCTAAGTCTTTACAGTGGAATAAAAAGGAAAGATTTGAATAAATTTCTATACCAAGATATTTAATTGAGTTAACAGGTTCAATTTTTTTTTCCACTAAATCCAATGTTCATATGTTATAAGATTTTTGATTTATTTGATTTAAAGATAACGAGTTCAGTTTTATTAGAGTTTAGAAAAAGTTTATTAGAGCAAAGCCACTGAACTAGATTGGTAAGATCATGGTTAATGTACTTGTCAATTTTTTTAAAGGGATTTATTAATTAGCATTAGATTAGTATCATCAGCAAAGTGATAAACAGTAGCAAACTTAATGGATATATGAAGATCATTAATATAAAGAAGAAATAGCAGTGGTCCCAATACTGAACCCTGAGGAACACCATTAGAACATTTTACAAGGGTAGATTTTGAGTCATTAATAGAAACAAATTGCCTTCTATCGTTTAAAAATGTAGTAAACCATTTAAGCGGTACGCTTAAATGGTTTACTGTTTCCATAAAATTCTGTAACGCTGTTTCCATAAAATTCTAATTTTTTCAACAAAATTGAATGATCCACTTGTCAAACGCTTTCTATTTATTGACAAATATACCACATGCAAAGTATTTTTTATCAAGTGGTTTTCTAATTAGTTCAGTCATTTCAATAAGAGCATGAGTTGTGGAGTGATTGGCACGAAACCCATACTGATGGGTGTAAAAGCATTAAAAATTTTCAAGCAAAGCATATAGCCTATTATGCATTGCCTTCTCAAAGAGTTTACCTAAATTAGAAAGCAGAGAGATGGGTTGGTAATTGGTGAAATCTAGAATCTTTTTTAAAAATTTTGAATAATTTTGGCAACTTTAAAAATATTTGGGAAAATACCACTTTTAAATGAGTTATTTATAACAGTACAGAGAGGCTTTGAAACAATGTGTGAGACTAGTTTGAGGAGGAATGTAGGTACACTATCAAATGAAATGAAAATGAAAGTCACTAAATATGCGTTTAGGGGGTATAGCTTTGCTAAGTAGTTTGTAATGTATAGTCCTAATAAAATTATAAAATTTATTAGATACGGCAGTATGATCAATGATAAAATTTTTGTTAAATTTAAGTTCAAAAATTTTATTGTGTGTAGAAGGTCTAATATTAATGATTTCTTTTATTCCCTTCCAGGTGTTTTTAATATAGATTAGATTATTGTTTAGATTATTTTTAAAATAAGTAATAAAGTATGTTTTTTTGCTATAAATGTTTCTATAAAATTTAAATTTTGCAAATAATTAATTTTTCTTATAAATATTTCTTGATTTTTATAAACTTTTTATAAAGTTTGTTTTTAACTGAAATAGATTTAAGTATTCCATACGTAATCCAAGGTTTTGATTTTAGTTTAATTTGTTGGTTGGTTAGTATTTTATAAGGAGCATGTCTGTCTAAGATTTCATCAAATGTTTTTAAAAAAATTCATGGATTTATTATCATCATTATCTTTTTTAATGAAGAGTTCCCAGTTGATATCAGAAAGTTCTTTAATAAATATATTTTTATTTAATTTTTTGAAGCATCGTCTGTAAGTTTTTACTTTTTTAGGGTGGTGAGGTATGTCAGGAATGCAAATAAATTGTGCCATGTGGTCTGAAATTGAAATCATAAGGCTAACTGAGAATTGATCAGTTGAATGAAAGTTCATGAATATGTTATCAATGAGCGTTTTTTATGTAGCCATTATGCGTGATGGCAAAATTATAGAAGGGCTTAGTGAGTATGATGTTAAAGAATCTAGTTATATAGAAACAGGGTTAGATTTATTGTGACTAAATATATCCATATTAAAATCACCCAATAGAAAAATCTTTTTTTTTCGTTACTTATAATTTTCGTTACGATAAATGCAGTTGCAAATATAATAATTGCAATGCAATTACTATATTTGATTCACAAGGTTTTAAAACTTCAACAAAAATAGACTCTAAATATTTTGAAGAGTAAATCACAAGATCATTGGGAATGACGTAGTTTAAATTTGAGCGTAAGTATAAAAGGGCTCCACCTTTTTAGGCCTCAGTAGGACAATGCTCAATATTAAACCCATTTATGTATATATCAGTTATATTTGTATCGTTTATATATAAATTAGATTCTGTAATACTTATTTCTAAGGGAAAATTATTAAGAGAGCTGATAAGACTACAGAGTTCATCAATGTGGAATGGTAGAGAAGCAATGTTAAGATGAATATATAGTTCTGAATTGGAAAGCATAGTTTTATCGAGATCAATAACACCATAGTATTTGCAATTTGGGAAATTAATTAAGAACTGAACTGGGAAACTTATTTAGATCTATAAAAATATTTTTATGATAACTTGGAGTCTCAAAAGAATTTAATGAACTAGTAGATATATTCTTGTGTAATAATGTTGACTTAAGCTCCAAGTTAGAAATCGAGCCAAAGGCCATACTCTTAGATAAAGAGCTATGACAATATAAATCTGACGAGTCATTCAAAAGGAGATCATAAGAGTGTGCATCAATATGATTACACTTTGCATGGACCCATGAGTTACAAAGATCACATTGGATGGTTCTTCGATTATCAGTAATACTTTGATGACAAGTGTTGCTGAGAGATTTAAATGCCATAATCTTTAGAAAAAAAAATATATGTACATGCAGTATTAACTAGTTAAAGTGAATAAAGTGTGAAATAGAGATTAAAAATAATACTATAACAATATCTATACTATATTATTAATATATACTAATAATAATATAACTACTGTTAACTGCTACCAATAATAGTATTATTAACAATGATACTAAAACAATAATAAATAAAAATAAGTCAATAATAAATAAGCTATAAAAATATAATATTAAAAATATATGTAATAAATAAAATAACTAGGTATTCAACGAGGACTAAAAATAAATACATTTAACTATAAATAAATAATATGCTAGAAAACAAATAATAATATAATGACTGAAAAATAATAATTAATGAATTATAATCATGATTCCATGTTTACTTTACTTGTGTTCTTTTGTTTTCCTTTTTTTACTCTCTTTTTTTAATTTAAGTTTATGAAGTGTTCTTTTTTTTTTTAAATTCTAAGTTCTTTTTTTATTTTCAATATATATATATATATATATATATATATATATATATATATATATATATATATATATATATATATATATATATATATATATATATATATATATATATATATATATATATTTTCCCTCTGTTAAATATATATTTTTTTGATTGTGCGTTAGCTTTAATTTATATGAGTTATTTATAAAATAAATAATAAGTATTTTTATATATAGTTTGGTTTTTTCTATATTCTTTATATTTATCTGAAATTTTCTTTTTTACTGTTATAAAAACACACCCGCCATTTGTGAAGACCTTGCAAATTGTCCAGAGTTAAAATCTAACAATTTAACAAATAGAATTAAAGAAACACAATGAACAAAACAAAAAGCTACAAAAATACCTTCAAGACTTGCACACAACTTATGAGAATCATCTGAAAAAGGTTGAGGACCAGTGACAGGAAGTACAGCATCATCAATAATAAATCCCAACAACACAATATCAAGATGCTCCAATAAGAGATCAGTAGTTAGTTGACTAACATTTCCAAAAGACACAGAAGTCTTAAAAAAATTTAAAATTATAAATATTTTCCTTTTTTGATAATTATTTAATCCTTAATACAAACTTGTATGATTAAAAACATGTACTAAATTTTGAACATTGACACATGACACATTTTGACTTTGAACACATGACACATTTTGACACATGACACATTTTGACATTGAACATTGACACATTTTGAACATAAACACACAACTAAAAAATATTTTTGAACATTAACTAAAAATATTTTTGAACATTAACTTAAAAAGATACATGGATCTTTTATAATTTATGTTTAAAGGGCAAATAAAGCTACAAAAAACTTTTTTTTTGGAAGAAGTATCTTGATTTAGATGCAGACATCTTTAATGTGCATAAGTAATCCTATTCTGTAGTATTCAATATTAATTTAATTACTTTTTATAAAATGACAGTTGGTTACACAACAAGCAACTATTTTACAACATATATACATCTGAACATAAGAAAAAAAAAAAAAATTGTTATAAGTAAAATATTTTCAAAAAATTTCAATTATTTTTTTTCCACGAAAAATATATTTTAAATTATATATTTTATAAAGTTTTGATGTAAATATTTTTTATAGATTTTACATATTTTTTTATAAGAAAAGATAATATATTTGTACTATTAGTAGAATTAATGTAGTTGTGTTTATAATTTAATTAAATAGATTGTGAGAAGATTTTTAGGTTTTTGTAAAACTAGATCTTAAAATTGATTTTTTATTCGGAAATATTTGAACATTTACAATATGCTGTTTTTGCTGATAAAATAATAATTCATGATACTTTGCTTTTTGCAATATGCTGACAATATTTATAATTAAATAAAAATCTTTATGTTTTTTATACGTAGGTTCATTTCATTAAGAAAATATTTATACGTTTTTTAATAATTTTATGAAATAATTGTATGAAGATTTTCAATCATCAGAGGGGAAATAATAAACTTGAGAAAATTTCTTGAAAATAAGATTATTTATTATACAAAAAGTACCGAAAATCTAAAAAATTTTCATTTAAAATAGTTTCATTTTGTTTCTCCATAATATAATTTTAATTACTTTTGTCTAATTTTTTTATGTGTTGTCTAAAAGCTGAAACCATGAAATTAATTGCAAATGAAATAATTTTTAAATTACAGCAAAAAACACAAACTTAATTTACTGGGTTTTGAAATAAAATTGAAAATTACTGTTTCTATTTTTTAATTTTATTTGATTTATTTTATTGACCACAGAATGTACATCAACTGAAATAGGTAGAACAAGTCCAAAAACTTCCAAAAAGTTCCAAAAACTCTTATTCGTCTAGTTTTTTTCCTCGAACATCAGTTCTTTGGAACTCACTTCCTTCATCTTGCTTTCCTGATTCATATAATTTGCAATCTTTTAAGTCGTCTGTCAATCGTTATCTTGCTCTACAATCTTCCTCTTTTCTCTTCCAGTAACTTCCAACACTAATTAGTGGTTGCTTGCAGCCTTGTTGGAAGCGAAGATAATTAAAAAAAAAAAGTGAGGAGTGCACATAGATAAACTGAAATAGGTAGAAAAAAGTGTAAAAAATTAGGGTGGGCTGAAACCTAAAAATAAAAGTGTCCTCTCTAATTACTTGGCTTTTGATATAATATGAAAATTTAAAAAAAAAACTGTGTGGTTATCAGTTTTAGCCAACCCACTTAAGATAATATAAAAGACTAAAAAAATTGTCAAATTTCTTTGGGTAAAAATCCTTAAATTCTTCATAAGATGTTTAATATGTATAAACTTTTCGCCAAAAGATGCATAATTTTATTTTAAACAATTTTTATTCCATGATATTTTCTTGTAACATCTAAATTTAAAAAGTTTTTAAAAATTACATCAAATTAAAAACAAATAGACTTTTCCAATTTACAAATTTAATATTTGTTCTTCAAATATCATTAAATTGTCATAAAATATCATTACTAAATCATTATATATCAAACATACATAAAATATCATTACTAAAATATCATCACTAAATATCATTAAAATGTCAACAACAAAAATATAGTTAAAATGTCAACAACAAAAATATTGTTAAAATGTCAACACATTTGTTAAAATTTTTATTTCAGTAATTATTCTTCATGACATAAAATAAAGACTTGATTTAAAATTGAAATACGAATGCATGTTTCTTTTCAGACAGTTTTTTGTAACTTAAAAATATATTTTTAAAGATACATTTTGTCTGATTCATAATCTAAAGTTTCTTTGGAAGACGATTTTAAATCTAAGGTTTCGTCTGATGACGATTCCAAATCAACTAATGTTTTTATAGTTTTTTTCTTTTCTTTTTTTTGAATAAATTTTTGTGTTTTCTTGTGTAGGCCTTCGCAACACATCTTCGGCCCATAACTCAATGGCAGGATTTACATCAAATTCGTCACTGTTTCATAAGTGCATATCCAAATTGAATTATTTAGCCGTTTTTCGGTTAATCGATTTCTTGTGTCAGATTTAATTCTATTCATAAGAGAAAAAAGACGCTCAACTTTTCCATTCGAAACAGGCAATACAAACAACAATTCAACAAGAAGAAGAACTGGACACTCTTTTTTCATATAACTCGAGAAAATTTGATACCATACTTTACAGTTTTATCTGGAGCCAAATATTTGACAGTATAATCAACTAAACTATGCCAAGCATCTAACATATTGTTCACATTCCCAGTGAAGCCAGCATAACGTAACGACATATTATAAAAGTCATACAATTTTTCGATGTTATCATCTGCAAATGAATTATTTGTGTTATTTTGATACCAACTGCCAGTGTTTAGTATTAACATTCCGTACATATCAGGAACTGTATTTTGTGCTTCCAAACGCTCTTCTATGGATATGGTAATTAACAATACAATCAGTGATTTTGAATTCTTAACTAGAGTTAGTGCGCTTGTAAAATCATGAAGCTCGACATCCTGAAATGAATACTTTCCATTACTATTTGTTACTTTTGATAGGAAACGTTTGACTGTTGGTAAATCATTAAACTCTTTTTTCTGCAAACGACTTAACTGCTTTTTAGTTTGTTCAATAAATCCAGAAGATGCTACTGAATCAATTTTGTTGCTTTGAAAAGATAAAGATAACAATTTAGCTGGCGATAAAATTTCTACGAATAATGCTATATAAAGAGGTATTCGTCCATGATTCTACTTTTGATGGTACCCTTTAAACTTTGCTCTTTCTGCTTGGGTAAAACTGAAATCTGCAGCCATGTTTTCGAGATGTTTCATATATACTCCATATTTGTCTAAGAGCATCTCAAGTGCTTGAATTTTATGTGCAATCCATTGTGTTCCTATTTATTATTAAACAAATAACTTAAACTTTTATAAAAAGTTTTTATTGCATAATATTTTACCGAATTCAATTTTTTTATTGATCGAAACACTTTTTTATAAATAACTTTTGTTGTTTAAAAAGACGAGCATGTAATGAATTACTTTATAAAGCCTTTTTAATAGAATAAATTAAAATGAAATCCAATATACCTGATGCTATTTTGGGGCGAATATCTGCAATGTCAAATGCATTACCCTCTTCAAGAATAGCAACAAGCTCTCTTAACTGTCGTAACTTTTTCGGTGATTTTTTATAAATTGCATACATTTTCAAAATGCTGTTATCGATATCATTAAACGTCTTTATTCCTTCAAATTTATCTTTTAACGCTAACTCAAGGCGATGTGCAACACACCAACCGAAAGTTATCCATGGAATTTCCTTCTGAAGTAATACATTGACAGTTGTCCTATTTCCTCTATTTACAGATGCGCCATCAGCACCGAAACCAACTAATTTAGTTTTATAATTTTTGATTCATTCTGAATCAAATGATTGACTGATTTTATTGAAAATTCCTTCAGATGTTCCATATTCAAGATCAGAAATAGAAAGGAAAGAACATTCAACGCATATTTCGGTCATTCCTATAGGAGTTGGATCAAAACTTATAATAAAAATAGCTTCTTTTTCAATTACAGAAACATCTGTTGATGCATCAATTAAAATACTGAAATAATTTCGTGTTTTTATTTTTAAGATTATTTGATCAACTCAATCCAATATAGTCAATAAAAGTTCCACAAGTTACTTTTTTTCTTTACGCTTGACCAACCTCTACACCATGATTTTCTTCCAAGCATAGTATTTTTGGGTATACGCTAAGTGGTAGCTCTTCTTTAAAAATAAAGTATGCTACCTCATATTTTTTTTGAGTTAAATTTAAATTTTTCGTGGTCATGGTTTTCAGGCTTGATAAAATGTTAGTTTGCCGAATTTCTTTCTGCAGGTTGATTAATTTATCATTTTGTTTGCTTACATTCATTCCTTTACTTTTCATTGTTAATTCGTATGCTCTTTGATGTGGCAACCGATTCGCATGATCCACTGCAGCACAGTGTTGTATCCTACAACTACCTTTATCGTTTCCCCACTCTGGCATATATCCTTTATAAATATCAATTTGTCCAGCATACTGACGACATACAGTACATTTCAATGCTGTAACATAATTTCCACTATTTGATATCTCTAGCCATTCATTCGCATTATATTTAGCAAGCGTAGTGTTTATCCATTTTTGAGCTGTTGTCAGCTGTAAATTTCTACTACTTAGTTTTTTCTTCTTTTCAACAGGTTGTTTTAATTCTGATCCTGCTTGTGTTAAAAATGAAAGTATTGTTTGTCTCTTTTTATTCGCCTCCATTTTAAGAGGTTGATGTTTAATGATTTTCTTACAATATATTAATAGAAAAAAATGTGCAAACACGCAATTGCTAATTTGAAACCTATTTGAAAATACAACTTCAGTCATTTCGGGCAGTCATTGACCATTGACCGCCCGTTATTTTCCACACTGTATATATATATATATCAGGCCTTGCGATGAATAAGAACTGTGCGACGCATAAGTACGACGTGATTTTTGACGTCATTAAATTCTTTTTATTTG